GAAATATAAAGGACAATTTTTCTTGGAAACAAGCCTTTAACAGCTTTCTTGGGGTATCCATTAACTGAACTGACTTATTGTTTGCATGTCTACACTATTCATGTATACCTGTATACTGAATCAATGTGAACATGTGTGGCAATTTTCTTAACAATATACTGTAGTTATCTATTTCTATTGTTGCAACATTTCAGAGAAGATTCTGATAAATTTCATTTAATAATGCATAAAGGTGTACTAAATTATCTCAGTAACCTTTAATCAGGAAATCATGAGAAGCTCAGATGAATGGTTACTTATTCAATAAAATCATTCTGCAAGTTCATACTGATACAGGATGTACAGTACTTATAATGTAGGTAAAGAGTATACAGGAACACCCCAGTTCATTCAGATTATGGCACTTCGATGTTGTGAACAAACCTCCTAGAACCTAACCAGTGTCATAAGCAGGCTCCCTTGGATTTACAGACTAAACAGTGAGACATATGTGTAGAATTAGTTCGCTGGCAGATGATTATCATCATCCTCTGCACAGCTGTGGGGTGTCTCAGTGGCATTTGGATTTGTAGCATCAATTGCCTTGTTTGCCACCATTTTTCAAACCAGAAAGATCAGCCATTCTTTCATTTTTTTTTATTAATTTAACCCCTTGTTCAAGCCTCAACCATTGCTGATGAGCATAAGAATGGACCTAGTGATACAACTATTGCCCTGGTTCAGTGTAGGACCTTAACACTGCAACAAAAGTAAGCAAAGAAGTGAGAAACTCCAATGCAGATCTGTGATTCCTTTGGGCTCAACTGGTCAACAATTGGAATGATTCTCAAAGACAATGTTAAAATTATCGAACTTGTGAAGGAAGTTGGTCCAATACAGTCTACTATAATAAGTAAGCCCAGCATTCTGAGGTTGTGAAGATGGAGTAACTATTTCCCCAATTCCATCCTTCCCAATGTAACTGGCCATCTCCCACTCCACTCCACTCCAACAATCACCATGGCCAATCAGCACAACAACAGGATCCAAGGTAAAGTAATTATCAAAGTCACAGTTGTGTGTACATCTTTATTGTAGGTGAAATTTCAGCAAAATTGGGGATTTTGTGAGACAGCTCGAAACCTAACTCCCCATAATTACACTGTTCCTACGGGGAATTAGCTGTTAGGTTCCAACCAACCGACCTACGAGCTGGTACTTCGGTCTCTAACCCTTTCGTAAACCGGGGTGTTCCTGTACATAAACAATACAGGTATACTTATACAAACAATATACACAGACAGCACAGGTATACAAGCATTGGTAAACATAAATTTGATATGAGTAATGATGACCCAAGTAAGTCATTATAAGCTTATTTCCCCTAGAATCCATTGTTAGGTTGGGGGACTAATCAGCAACAAAATATCTACAAAAACAGACAAAATTGGTAAGATCATAAAAAATGGGATATTGTTAAATATGGGGATGTACTGCCTCATCAAAAATAAGTAATTCTGACAAACATGCATCTTATTAAAGCACCATATACAGTAATAACTTGACTGCATAAACGTGATAACAAAAAAAATGTAAAACCTAATTTTCTTTTGGAATCTGATTCCATCTCTCACCTAGTACAGTAAGTAAAATTTGGGGGTCAGGCTTTAATCCTTGTCTCCAGCACATGAAGATTCCGGATTCATATGGTCGAATGTCTGTGAGTGTCAGTTTTAGCTTAACCTTCTCATCTTCTGCCTGAGAAAGCATAAATACAATTAATACCTTACAATATTCGAAAATCATTGTAATAATATGTTGTAACATTTGTGGGGTGATAAACTTAAGGTTAGAAAGTCTACTTATGTCTTAGCCCAAGACATCAAGACAGCTGGTGGTCAACTCGGCACAACACCTTGGTACAGTACAATTATGCCCCACTAACCAACTTTACCTGACACAGGATTGAACCAGTACTGTAGTAGGAGTCCTGAGTGCTATCAAATGAACCATATACAGTATACATATTGCAATTTCAATGCAGATGTAAACAACTGTAGATGCTGATGTAATCTTTATCTCATGGTAGCACGGAGATGTAAAGTGGAGATTATGCAGCATCCTGCTAAACTGTGAAAAATAACATGGTGGAGAAATTATGATGGAATGAAAAACTAAAAAAAAAAGGGAAAAGATTCCAATTCAATAATTTCCTAATCATCCGATCCTTTCAACATTGGGTGCTATTCCCATATTTAAATTTCTTAAGAACAATTGTGTTACTGTAACACGCACGCACGCACGCACGCACGCACGCACGCACGCACGCACGCACGCACACACACACACACACACACACACACACACACACAGTCATGCGCCGGTTAACGTCCTAGATACGTTCTTGGAAATGTGATGTTAACCGAAATGGACGTTGTCCGATCATCACATAAACTTTGTATTTATAGTGTACTTACACATATGTGGAATACTATATACGTACATATACACTCTTACTCTTAAATCACTACTGTAATGTGATACAGGTGATAAATTTTTATCTCTTGTGCAAAATATATGACGTTTATATTCAAATTATTCGCTGTCTTACAAGGATTCCAGCAATGCTAATTTTGGGGAGGGAGGGAGGGGGAGGAGGGGGGAGGAGGAGGGAGGAGGAGGAGGGAGGGAGGGAGCGTGGGGGGGAGGGGAGCGGGAGGCGAGGTGGTATGTTTGACAGTTGGCGCTCAAGGTCTAACGTGTATTTATTTATCAGTCCATAAGTGACTACCGGGAAGCTTCTCTCTTATAAAAAGCCAGTGAAATGACCTGGGTGAATATAATTTACATTGCTGGGATTCTTGCAAGATAATGAATAATTTGAATAAAAATAAGCTATAATTTGCACGAGACGTAACAATTTTAGTACCATAATCAATTTAGTACATGTACACTCCAGCTTTGCACTAAGGTCATTTATTTCTTTTACGTTTCTTTTAGTATAGTGTGTGCATGCAAATGGATGAAAATAAATTTAGAAATTTATGTAAATCTACCCAAAAATACAGTTGAAAAACTTTATATTATAAAATGTACTACAGTACTGTGCACTAATGTACTACAATTTTTATCTCGAGCAAAATATATGACGTTTATATTCAAATTATTCGCTGTCTTGCAAGGATTCCAGAAATGCAAATTATATTCTCCTATGTTTAGGGGGAGGGAGGAGGGGGTTGAGGTGATATGTTTGACAGTTTGAGCCGAAGGTCTCTGTGTGTTTATTTAACAGTCCTACTAAGCTTCTCTCATTTTCAAATGCCAGTGAAATGACCTGGGAGAATGTAATAAAAATTGCTGGAATTCTCACAAGACAGCGACCAATTTGAATATAAACAAGCTATAATTTGCATTCGACATACAAATTTTAGATCTAATTTAAGAATTTTATTACAGAAAGCAAAAATTTTTATCTCTTGTGCAAAATATATGACGTTTATATTCAAATTACTCGCTGTCTTGCAAGGACTCCAGCAATGCAAATTATATTCTCCTAAATTTAGTCTGAGATATTGTATTATATAAGATAAAAACCCTGGCTGACTTGGTGTGAAGTAGGTGTTGGTGGGGATTTGAGGATGGGGTGACTGTTGGTGTGAGGGAGGTGTTGGTGGTGGTGTGAGGGAGGTGTCGGTGGTGGTGTGAGGGAGGTGTCGGTGGTGGTGTGAAGGTGGTGTTGGTGTGAGGGAGGTGTGGGTGTTGGTGTGAGGGAGGTGTTAGTGGTGGTGTGAGGGAGGTGTGGGTGTTGGTTTGAGGGAGGTGTGGGTGTTGGTGTGAAGGAAGTGTTGGTGGTTGTATGAGGGTTTTATTTCCATTTTTTTCATGGGCCACGGACGTTTATGCGATCGGACGTTCTTCGGTTGGACGTTAAACGGCGCATGACTGTATATATGTGTGTGTGTGTGTATATATATATATATATATATATATATATATATATATATATATATATATATATATATATATATATATATATATATATATATATATATATATATATATATATATATATATACAGTTAACCCTAACTTTACGCGGTTAATGTAACCCGGAGGGTCCCGCGTAAAGTGAATAACATAACATATGGGATTAATTGAAATGGAGTCAGGGCCGATCCCCAAACTCCACTTTTTGACGACACACAACTATGTTGTAGTAAGAATATTATCTTAACTTTATGATGGTATGCACACACAATTAATAATTAAGAGAAATATCAATAATATTAGGTTTTTTAACACTTACATTAGTAGAAAAAATGGCTGGGCACACGGGGATGGGCGGTTGGTTCCGAGGCAGAGGGCAGATTATTGGCCCTCACCTGTGTCACTTGTATCAATTGTATCACTATCCACCACAGAGGCATGCAGGGCCTCTTTGTCAAACTCCCCAAAGTCCATACAAGTCCATATCCTCACCATAATTATCACTATCACTGACTTGGGCCGGCTGTGGTGGGTGGCGGGTGAAGAACTGGTAATGTTTTGATGACTGGGCGACCTTGTGCGCACCATGTTCGCGCAGCTTACACAACATGGCGGGAGGTTTGGATCCAAAAATGGCGCGGCTCGCCAGCCGCTCTCCACGTAAAGGGGTACACGCACCGCGGAATATGAGCATCCTGGGTTCCGGCAGGGCACCGCGTAAACGTGGAAACGCGGAATGCGGGACCGCGTAAAGTGAGGGTTAACTCTATCTATCTATCTATCTATCTATCCATCTATCCATCCATCCACCCACCCACCCACCCACCTACCTACCTACCTACATACATACAGCACATACATACATATATATATATATATATATATATATATACAATTATATATATATATATATATATATATATATATATATATATATATATATATATATATATATATATATATATATATATATACAGTGATCCCTTGGTTAACGAATGCCTCGGATTAAAAAATTTTGGTTAACGAATTACCTTCCATAAGAATCTTCATTTCGGTTAACGAACAAAAATTCGTTTGACGAAATTCTTACGAAAATGTTTCGACGTGCTTTGGCTTGCTCACCAGCTGGAAGATTAGTCCGCCAATACAGAAATCGATTCTAGGGCTTACATTCGTTAAATTTGGAGTAAATATCAAGAAGCTTGTACTATTCAATAATTTTCCAAGTTTTATATTAAATTTTTAGTCATTTTAACACTTATTTAACATAATTGCTGTATACAGGGAACTAGTTTTTGGTGCGCCAATGAGCCACTTCACTCACCCACCAAGGCCTCAGTTTTTATCTTTGTTCAGTGGAGGAAACATATTGCTTGTGGGTCTCTTGAACACATAGTATTTTTACGTTTTTACAGTACAATTATTGGTCATTCTGAAATTTATTTAACATATTGCCAATATATAGTGCAGTGCAGTGTTGATTTAAAGAAAATAATCTTGAATTACACCTACTGAACATAAAATTTTATGGGCAAAATGACAGCATCAAGCATGGGGTGATTTCTCTTCCATCCCCACTTCCTTCTCTTCTCCCTTCTCCTCCACCCCCACTTCTAATTCCCATCATCATCATCAACAACCAGGAGCCTTCTACATACACACCTCAAAGTAAGGGTACTTTACTGCATTTGTTTTTTACTTTGTATGTAGTTTTCGGTGAGCTGGAACCAATTACCCAAAATCCCATTGAAACGATGGTTTCGGTTAACGAGCGACCTTCTGGAATGAATTGTGTCGTTAACCGAGGGACCACTGTATATATATATATATATATATATATATATATATATATATATATATATATATATATATATATATATATATATATATATATATATATATATATATATATATATATATATATATATATATATATATATATATATATATATATATATATATATACACATTCAGCGGTCATTAACCCCTTCTGTGAGCGGCTGTGAGCATACATTTTCAGATCAAACCTTCCGCCATATTTAGTATGGCTCTTGTGAACATGTGGTTTGCCTAAGAATCGCCAGTCATCAAAACATTACCAGTTCTTCACCCGCCACCCACCACAGCCGGCCCAAGTCAGTGATAGTGATAATTATGGTGAGGATATGGACTTATATGGACTTTGGGGAGTTTGACAAAGAGGCCCTGCAAGCCTCTGTGGTGGATAGTGATACAAGTGACACAGGTGAGGGCCAATAATCTGCCCTCTGCCTAGGAACCAACCGCCCATCCCCGTGTGCCCAGCCATTTTTTCTACTAATGTAAGTGTTAAAGAACCTAATATTATTGATATTTATCTTAATTATTAATTGTGTGTGCATACCATCATAAAGTTAAGATAATATTTTTACTACAACATAGTTGTGTGTCGTCAAAAAGTGGAGTTTGAGGGATAAATAGGACTCCATTTTGATGTTAATCCCTTATGTTATGTTATTCACTTTCTGGCGTTTCTCACTTTACAGCAGGACCCTCAGTTAACAGCGTAAGTGAGGGTTAACAACAATAATATATATGTATATATGTATATATATATATATATATATATATATATATATATATATATATATATATATATATATATATATATATATATATATATATATATATATATATATATATATATATATATATATATATATATATATATATATATATATATATATATATATACAGTATATATATATATATATATATATATATATATATATATATATATATATATAAAGCCTTGCATCAGTATAAAGTAAAGCCATGCATTTGTGATATGGCTTCCCGTGAATTGTTGTGTTTTTTGCACTAAAGCTCATCTAAATTAAGGTAATACCCCATGTATATTTTTATTTTACATTTTTATTCCTGATTTTGTCTTTGTACGTAGGTCTCTCGTCATTTTTGTCGGTTTTAATTTGGAGTGCTCTTTCTTTAAATTTTATGGAAGGTAAATTTTCGTATAATGTTACGTTTTTATTGTATATCACCTGTATTTTTAAAACTTTTTCAAAACTTTTTGGGTTTTCTAGGCTCTGATGGAAAACGATTTTTCTGAAACATTAGTGATTAAAGAAACCCAACTCAGTCAAGATGTTTATGTCGTGCACACGAGTGATGCTCCACAAAATTTTTTTCGGTTTTCAGAATTGCGGACCTGTACAACAAAAACTAAACAGACGTAAAGCTAAATTCTGCATTGCAGTACAGTACAGTACTGTACTGTACTTGTAAACTTAACAAAAAGAACGTTTGGTTGTGTTTGGTGTTCAAGCAACGACTTTATCACCTTTTCCATCAATTCCATAATCAATAACCATGAATAACTAACTTTCATTGCAGTTAATGGAGTAGCATTCTTAGAGCTAGACTTTATTTTGTCTGCATTAACATGAATTTATTCTGCATATTTTCATTGAAGTCAAGAGTGTGCATGATGTCCCTCTTCTAATCTTTTAGTAATGTTCAATTTCACTTCTAACAAAACTGATTTTCTCATGGTTGTAGAGAAACTGCTCTCCCTAACAGTATGTGTTTTCACTCGTGATTATGAAGGAATGAGAGATTTAATGGGATAAACACTGTTACATATACTGCCCCCGGAGGAATACCACATGTGACATTAAGCAGCTGGCTTCTCTGGGACTAGCTCTCAACTGTTGTAAAACAAATTGTGTTAGTAGGAAATTTTGTACAGTAAAATGGTGTTAAATGGAGAGGTATTACACTTCGTTACAATATTTAACTGCAAGTCAAAACCATTCACATCATTTAATGCCAAGAAATATTCAAATCAACTTTAGTCACTTGTCAAGTTTATGATACTGTAAGACATTCTTAACTAAATAGATAAAGGAAACTCTTCCCCCCAACTCTCTAATCTACCTTTGAATCTAGAGCAATTCTTGGCTCTCCAACCACTAGTCGACGTCCAGAGCTGAGCACCTGTGGTCGTTTTGTTCCAGTGCGTATGTACACCCATCGATACTGAAAATATTAATAAATAAGAAATACAAATGCATTAAAAATATATAATGCAAGAATAGGACATATGTGAGTAAATTCCTCTTTCACAGCTTGTCAACTCATGCCTCCCTTTAAGTCTGCCAGCTTATTTGCCACATAATGCAAAGATATACGTAAATACTGTACTACTGTAATAACAACATGGCAAACGACATGGTTTTATATGCTCCAATTAGGAATAGAAGCATGCTGTTGACTTAATGATGATAACAGATAGTATTGAAGAGGCAATGGAGAAATTTAAGAAATGGAAGGATGGAATAAAGTCAAAGGGGCTGAGAGTGAATGTAGCAAAAACACAAGTATTGATAAAAGGTATGGATGAGGTAACCGTGGTGGAAAGTGGAAAAATGCCATGTTATACCATCCAGTAAGTATACTGTATACATTAACTTTTAATTAATGTTTAATAGGATAGGATAATACTTTAATACAGTACAGAAAAAACGAGCTGTTCTTTTAATAATAATTAAGGAATATATTAATGCTGTACATGTTGCAAACTCATCATTACAATAATACTCCAAAACACAATAACAAATAAATCAAATAATTAAAACTTAATGCAGTAAGTCAATGTAACCACAATACTTGTACAGTACACTACAATATTTAACACAATAAGTCGAGATTCCCGTAGTTACCAAATTTTACACAAAATCAAAGCAATGCAATAATCTTTATCTAGGATTAATTTACATAGCTAATATGAAGCAATCATATACTGTACTTGCTGACAGTTTTATCATCAAAAATAGCTATTAATTTTATCCACCTTGGATAAGCTTGAGCAAAGTTAGCGATCACTTTATTTATGTTTCTATAAACATTCAACAAGCAAGACCATTTAATTTGTCTTGTTTCATTGTAGAGCGCAGGTTACTTTTGGGATTCCTCAGCAACTGAAGGAATGCTTGCATTGACGTGAAGTGACTGGTAAGGTTGCATTGACTTGGAGCATACTGTAATACAGGTACAGTACTGTATATATGTTTGGATAAAATAAAGGCGAGGTTTGCAGGAATAATTGTCAGGGAGTTGGGTAGGTCAGACTCCCAAGCATTCCATTCCTGCTGCCAGCACTCCAATTTTATTTCAAGACATTCTGGTGATGGAATATCACTGACCACCAACTCTTTGTAACTATTTCAGAACCTTTTTTCAACATTCTGAATCATTCACAGAAAAGCATGTTGTTGAGCTGACAAGAAACGTGTTTTGAGTTCACAGAGCAGTGGTCAACAAAAGGAATTGTGATGGTGTGATGGACATATTCTTTGGGGAAAACTGCTGGTATGTTGTATCTATTAATTTGCCTTCTGTTTATATGAGGTAGTGCTGGTTTAGGGGCATTGATTATTTCAGCTACGACAACAGCTTCTGTGTACCTACCAAGTACAGTACTGCATCACCAACTTGACCAATGTCACCACAACAATTTGATAGCACAGATGACACTATACAGTATAGATATCAATTGTGAATCTTTGAAGGCTTACACCGAGAGACTATGTAATGAAGGCTATTGTGACAAACAGTAAATGGCATCAGATATTAAAATAGCATAATTGCAAGAAACGATGATTTTCCTTTAGAAATTGATTCCCAAGTTCCACGATTCTCCATCTTCTGCAATATTTTGCATAGTTTCGACAACAGCTATATAAAGGTCACCAAATTACTCAAAAGCATCATGTCAAGCAGCCCAAAGAATTATACAAAAATCAACTAACTTTTGCCTAGAACTCTGAGAGCACATATTAAATATGTAGCCTTCAAGCAGTCACGGGCATTAAGGTGATTATTGTACAAGAATACCCCAGCTATCAAAGGATGTATTACTAAAAGACATTGTGAATAACAATTTTGCAAATATTGGGGGCAATTTTCCCCATAAGAATTAATGTAAAGGAGGAGAGAAGGGGTGCATTCCTAGCCGCCAACTTTATATTTTCAATATACATCCCCCATTATCAGAGGCTATTAGGGACCAGGGGAGTGTGTACTGTATACAGTAGTACAGGAGTACCAGTAAATGTGAGGAATAAATAAAAAAATAAAATAAAATAAAATAATTAATTAAGTACAGTACAGTAATATCTCCATTAGCTGGAATCCCTCAAACCACACAACTCTGATAGCCGGAATTGAAATTTTCTCTGAAAATCGTCCCCAGAAGCCGTAATTTTGCTGAAAATTCTGGCTTTGGGAACGATTTTCCGAGGGGCACATTTTCCGGAAAATTTAGAGAAAATTTTCCCAATATCCAGAAAATTCAAGGGATGGGGATATTTCTTTCCCGGGTTTGAGAAATGAAAATCAGGCGCATTTTCTGGAAATTCTGAGAAAAATTTTCCGTTACCCGGAAAATTCCGGGGATGAGGGATATTTTTCCGGGTTCGAGAGATGACGTACAGTAACGGGTAATTTCTGGAACTTCCGAGAAAATTTGTCCCGTTATCCAGAAAACTCCAGGGATGAGGGATTTTTTCCGGCTTTGAGAGAGTTGTCTCGTTACCCGGAAATATCTCATTCCTGGAAGTGCTCTGCACCAATTGTTCCGGATAACGGAGATACATATCTACCCGAAAATATAAATTGGAAAATAACAATAACAAAGCTTGGCCTGGTAAGGTAAGAGCTAGGGGGATGTAGTCTCAGACACAGGGACAATCTAACTTGCCAAGTCTATACATACGTTCACTTCACACACACAACACTACTCTGCATATTTCTTATCTTATAGCAACTTATTTTTCGATACACTGGTACACTCCATATACTGTAATGTAATAAAATAACTTCAATACCATAAAAATATTATAAAAGAACACCGAGTGAGTGAGTGGGAGAATGTGTGTGAATGTGTGTGTGTACAACATTAGTATGCACTCGGTAAAAAAAGTACTGTATATATCAAGAAGGGGGGGCTGATAAATTATGAACTGAACAATCGTGTTGGCACACTAAGGTTGGTACGCATAATTGTGAGACATTCTACCTATTATGGTAGGCCTAATTTAGTTACTTCATTAGAAATAGAAAATTAATTTGTTGCAATATAATTGGTGAATAACAGTATGCCTCATGTGTCTATCAAAAACCTTCGTTCATGGCGTCATTTTGTTTAGCACAAGAATTTCAAGAATACTGTACCAGTACTTCTGTTACCAAGTGTAGAGTACATGAATGTAAAAATTTAAACTAGTATTTACCATAGCCATACAAAGAATTTTAGAACACTGGGTGCAATTTTTTTTCACGCTGCAGTTTTGAAGTACTGTACATTTACAGGAGTGGGGCGAGTGCCTCCCACGTGTGCCCCGTGTAAACGGTCCCATTGAACTTTATTCATTTCTAAACTGTGCGGGACTTCACACGCAGAAAAAAACGCTCGTGTAAAGGGGACCTTACAGCAGAATATGAGAGCTGCGGCTAGTCCGCGCAGTTTGAAATATTACTGTAGGGTATTGTCATTTTTTTTTTTTGGTGAATATCAAATAGGGGTGTTAAAATATCAATTGCGGTTCAGCAGGATTGGAGAATAGTAAGGTATTTCTGTACAGGTATCTTCCTATTTATGATATTCCACTTTAACAATAGCGCTGTACTAAGACCACCCCCTCTATTGATGCTGTAACCAGTCCTCATGAATAATGGGCATCGTCTGGCCAAAGCACATTACAGTCACAAGAACATAACAAAAATCACTTCACAGTCACCAAAAATGAGTACATATGAATGTTAGTGATGTCCTATCACTGTAAGGTAAAAAAAAAATGATAAGAACTGTAACAACACCGATATTGACTGATAATCGTCGAGTTACACGATCATGGAACTTAGCATGGTACTGTGTGCACCAGGCGGTCATGTGGAGGTGCACATGTTGACTGCAACACATTTACCGGTACATATGCACTCTGTTTTGGCGACTGTTAAGTGATTTTTACTGTGTTTCTTTTAGACTGTAAAGTGCCGGCCGCTATCATTGTTTTCATGCTTTCCTCGTTCGCTCTGTTTTTGTGACTGAAGTGAGCAGTGTTCTTAATGATGTGGTGAGTGTTATTTAATTGTTTTATGTACAGTATATTATTAGTGCAGGATTTTTTCTTCGGTACTACATGTGGGTGTTGGACTGGCTGGGAACGTATCCCATTGAACCCCATGTCATAATGATCCCAATCTACAATATTTCACCCAGCAATAGGTTTATCAAGAACCTATTCCCATCATAAATAGGGGGATACCTGTACCTGAAAAATACTGGGACAGAATGCACACTTCTATCAGGGTATCCATCATATTCCACACGTGTTAAAGCTGACATGTCCCCTACCCCACTAAATGTGCAGTTCCTTGCAAGTGCATATTTGAGTTGAGGATATTCAGTAAATGATACTGTCTATCTTCAATGATACACTTTACTTTTACTTGTATCCTCTTCACCACTGATCGGCTCGTTAGTCGCTTGGGCGATCAGTCACGTCTCTATTACGCATTGTTGGCAAGTACTGGGCATGCACCAGCTCCTGAATGTATCTGAACCTGCTCCAGTGTTGGTCAAGTCTGGTCTTGAAAGAGCTCACACTCAGTGCCGTCACAACACTTTCTGGTAGATTGTTCCAAGAGTTCTCAACTCTCATTCCGAAAAAGTTTGCCCTCACAGTTTTCTGGACCTGCGGCTTCTTCAATCTTGAGCTGTGACCCCTTGTGGGGCGAGTGTCAATCTCTAGGGGGTCTAGATGGAAGCACTTCACTCTTGAAGATATCTGAACGACCTTCTTATAAAACCCAATAAATTATTTGCCTGATTTACCTTCTTCTTGCAATGACCCGAGAACTTCAGCTCATTGTCAACATACCTGGGCATCTAAGCTATGTAAACTGTAAAATAAAACTGTCAGGCTCCTATATATGAACCCATGTTTCAGGACTACAAGGACACATTTCTCTGTGCCTACAGGGGGCATATGTCCCTTAGATCCTCCCCTGGGACTGGGCTTGGTTTGTAAGAAAGGTTTTGGCAGTACTAATTCATTAATGAGCAATGAGTGTTGATGGTGGGTACACAAGTGGTGCAGTGGAGTAGATGGGAGACTACTGTATGTTGCTGACTATTAAGTGCCCTGTAGGTGCAGGTAACCATGTGCCCACAACAAGGCTGGAGAAGCTAAACATTGGGGTCCCTGGACTGTGTCAATGAGTTCAGTTACCTTGGTGACATGACAGTGCCTGTGGGAGTCCTAGAGCCTGCTCAGTCACAAGAGTCAGAAATAAATGGATGAAGTTTAGGGAGTGCTGCCTGTATTGGTGGCAAGAGGACCTTCCCTCTCATTGAAAGGAAGAATGTATGTTGCTGGTGTGAGAAGTGTAATGTTATACTGTATAGCACACAGTGAAACATGGGCAGTTAAAGAGGATGACGTAAGTAGACTTTAGTGAGCTGAAATAATAATGGCATAACAGTTGTGCAATGCAACACTAAAAAGCAAAAGGTCTTGTTCAGAGCTAAGAGGATGGCTGAGTGGTGAGAATATTGGCGAAGTTGTGTGGAGGCAGGATGAGATGGTTTGGGCATGTGGAGAGAATGATGAGACTAATTGGGTCAAGAGGTGCAGGAGCCTAAATGTGGAGGAGAGCCAGAAGTAGGCCAAGAATGGCCTGGGGAGAGGTCATAAGACTTGACATTAGAGTTAGGAATCTGGCAAGAGTCTACAAGGGACCATGCAGCACAGAGAACTGCCATTAGGTAATTACAGCTAACCCATGTGGGCATGGATAATGGCTGTAAAACATTGATGATGATGATGAGATTTGGAAGAGGAGACTTATTGTGTCAATAAGCAACAAAGGTCACTTGTCTGGGGATATGAGCAGTTTATCTCATCCACTTTTCCTTACAGGCCACATGAACCATCTGAATTTAAGTTATCAAAAGCAACCAAAGATCATTTCATCATTGGTTAGGTTTGGTCGATTCATGTGGTCTATTCATATATGGTTTTCACACTCATTCTCTGAGGAAAAAGAAATGAGTAAGCAAATACAGTACAGCAGCCAGGGAGGGATTAGTGGTAGCAGTACGATTTCAGTAAACTGTCTGCTTAGCAAAACTTATTGAGCCGTATGCGCACATCATTCACTCCTGACTGTTTTGATACAGGTACAACCGTACAACTCTTCTCGTTTTAGAATTTAATTTCAGATGACTCATTCTATAAAACTAGGGGGTTGTTAAGTAGTCAAAACAATATGATCAGAACTTTCATATGCAGTCCCAAGTTTGAAACAGCCTATGGAGTAAGGGCCATGAACCAAAGGCCTGTAGGACTACAAATCACAATAAAAGTTAACTGTAGCAAAAATTAGATTTTTTTTATATTCTTCTACTTCAAACTGTAAAAAAATAAGAAATTTTTGTACAACTCAAGTTAATTTTACACCACTCATAACTGGAACAATGGTATTATTTCTCACACTTTCATGCATTAGTCCACTAAAACTAAAACTAAAACTTACATAATTCATCATACAGTATTGAAGAAATACTCTACAGTTCCTCCTTTTGATCATCTTTTCGGCCATAATCCAATAATTGTTTCTCTTATTGTAACAAGTTATTTTTATAATACCCGGTACTGTAATGTATAGCTTTACAATATGATTCATTTGTTCATAACAGAAACAATGATGGAATCACAATACAGTTCATAGTCTTCATGTACAGTACAGTGTACTGTGGTGGTCAACTCACAGCACGCAGGTGACCTGGCTGAGCAGAGCAGGTGAGTGTGATGTTTCCCCCCGACACCACCTCCATCCGACGGATGTTATCTCGATCTCTCTGAGCTCTGCAATCTGCAACACAATAAACATATACCATAATTATTGTGCCAAACAATGTATGTGTGCATATTCATGCACACACACAGCACCTAGTACCTAGGCACCGGAAATTGGTTTATGTCACCGCAATATACAAGAGCAGAAAAAGTGCAGCAGAAAACTACAGGTTGATCAGCCTAAAATCTCATACAATACAGTACAGTACATGCCAACTCTGGGAAAATTTTGAAGGAAGCAATCATCCAACACCTACCCAAACAGTCTATCATTGCATCATAACCTGGTTTCATAGAGAGAAAACCTTGTCTGACAAACTTACTTTCCCTTAAATGGTAACAGATAAAGAAGATCAAGGTTTACCAGTGGATGTGCTGAGCATGGATTTTCTAAGGCACTTGACAAAGCTCTGCATGCATGGATAAACTCTGAGATCCAAGTATGTGACATCACAGGCAAAATATTGAAGTGGATGAAGCAATGGCTCTAAGACAGGCAAGAAAATATGGTCATAAATGGAGTGGTACAGTGCCAGATATAGGACTGTTCAGAGTGAGCGACCGAACAGGGCCTCCCACATTTTCATGGCACCAAATTTTATATATGGAAATGAAACTATAAAAATTGAACTTCTTTAAGTTTATTTTTATTATGTCACTGGCAAGTTAGTTTTTCCATAGTTGCATGTACTGCAGTTGGCAACCTTATGAGGGGAGGGGGGAAGTATATAAAATAGGATATGCCGCTGCTTACTCAGACGTTTAAGATAAAAATAAATTTCCCTTACTCTTGATTTAGAGCAGGGGTCACCAAACTTTTTTCACAGTGGGCCGGATAACTGAAAGAATGACGAGCGCGGGCCGCATAATCATTCTGTTCAATACTTGCAAGCCAGAACGAAAGCCATGGAAACCATGGTAACGTCAGAGCGTAGGCGGAGTTACCACGGCGGGCCTGATGGGCCGCTGAACACCTGATTTGGAAATAAATTTTTTTTTAGGGTGTTTACTGGAGCTCAGGAACACCCTAGACCCCCAGAGGGCTGATATCACTGGGTGGTACTTTTGAAGAGGAAAACGTTCCTGTAATCTAAATTGATGACATTGATGAAAATATATCAACCCATATTCTGCATCCAATTTGTGGAGGACACAAAAATATACATGGAAGGCGTAGTCAATCAGTCCAGGCAAAAAAGATTAGCCAGTGCAGTGGTCATGGGTGATCAAATAACAGTGGGACAAACAAACCACATTTATTATATTCTGTGAATACACTTCCTTAAAACTGCTAATAAGCCAAAGATCTCAGCATTGTGTTAGACCAATCACTGGAGACAATGCAACAAGTGGGAGCAACAGTGAAAGAAGTTAATCATACGGCAATTTAGGAATTATAAGTCATACTTTAAATACAAATAACAATGTATTACAAAAATGCCCCTTCATAACTAAGTCTCTTGTATATCCCCAACTGAAGTACTATATACAGACATGGAGACCATACCTCCAGAAACACAAAACATCCCTAGAAAAGGTACAATGCAGAGTGACTAAGATTATTTATAGCTACAGTACAGTATAACTTCTCAATTATCTATCCAAGTAGACTGAGTACTTTATGACTGACATCTCTTCAGAGAAGTCACAAGAGGGTGGATCTCACAAAAAAGTTCAAAACATTGAAAGAGACAGAAGGCATAAACCCAGTTAATTTATTTGTGGTGCTATGACAACAAAAATTTAAAGCCCACAAAGGTACAATATGGTGAAAATTAAGCTGGAAGGGAATGGAACATGGATCACAGACTTTCTTCATGACTACAAGCAGTGTGTTGTGATTAATGGCACAAAATTGTCATATGAACCCATGGCAAGAAGGGTACCACATAGCAGTGTACTGTACTGGGTTTATTGTTTGTTATGCACCTGATATGCCAGAAGCTACCCGGTATACACTTCTCGATACAGTACAAAGATTTGCAGACATTGCTAGCTTTTCAGGGAAATTAAGAAGCAATCTGACTGTGAAACACTACAGGAAGATCTTTATCAGTTTCAGGAGTGGTAAAAGGAATGGTTGTTGAGATTCAATACCACAAAATGCAAAAGGATGTATCTAGATCATACCAACAGTAAGGAGGCAATATCACATGTCTCATCAGGACAAAAACTGGCTTTTTATTTTGATTCTGAAATGAACTAAATCAATCCAGTTCTTATAAGAAGGGCACTTTCCAAGTGAGATGCTTCCCTGTTTGGAGTACCATCACCCCATACGGTTTGTGAGATATGCTAGAGACTGTCAGTTGATTGAAAACATCCAAAGGAGGGACCAGCTCCTAGCATCCCAAGGTGAGTGAGACAACACACCATTTCTGGACAGGGAACTCACTCAACTGAGAGTTGCCTTCAAGTGTTGCTCACAGTACTTTCCTGGAGAGAATTCACTCCATAATTCTCTCAGACATTACCTATGTATATAAGGTACAAACAATAAATACAGAAAAGGCCAAGAAGTGTTTACATCAAGAACCTGCCACTTAGGAGCTCCACAACTTCTATAGAAACACTTTTCTTGACTATTTTGTTAATGGAATAAACTAGGAAGATTGAAGAATATCTGTAGTTCCTTTCGGTTCTCTACTGAAAAGATTTGTCCATTTTTTATGTACAGTACTGTACTTAATTCTTTATGACCACTCTTTGTTGCCAGTTGTTAATCTACTTCATTATTTTTCCTGTGACGCCAATGCAGAATTGTTTTACATTTTCTGATCTTGAAAATCCCATCCCAGTGCAAACATAATGACCCTTTTGCATGTCTTACATCCTTTGTACCCTCAAGCATCTTTCAACGTGATACATTCTCCAAACCATTAATTTATCGTGTATCGAAAAAAAAGTCACTCTATATATGTTACTAACCTCTTTACAAATTATGTCTATGTGGTTAAAAGTCCTATCACATTATCAAAGACAATCTGCTGTGACAACAGACCACGTGGTGTCCCCATGATGCGATGACACCCCGTAGTGAATGAGTTGCTACAGCATCATGTGAGGTTCCTCATAACACCATCCGTGAGGGAATTACTACGCCATGTGATGCCCCTTATAACACCATCTGTGAGGGAATTATTACACCACATCAGGCCCCTCAAACACCATCTGTGAGGGAATTACTACACCACATCAGGCCCCTCATAACACCATCTGTGAGGGAATTACTACATCATCAGGCCCCTCATAACACCATCTGTGAGGGAATTACTACACCACGTCAAGCCCTTCATAACACCACCTGTGAGGGAACTACTACTCCACGTGATGCCCCTCATAACGCCATCTGTGAGGGAGTTACTACACTACATGTCTGCTGTTCAACACCTCAGCTCACATGATCTACGTGACCTCCGCTGTAAACATTAATCTGTTTGTTCACTGTATGTTCCTGCACCTTTCTCTAATGAAGGCTTTTGTTAAACCACCAATGTATGTAATAAGTCATTTATGTCCAATGTATATTTTCAGCCTTTGGGCTGCAGAACTTGTTCAATAAACCATTTATCATTATCATTATTATTAGCATTGTGATGCTCACACTGGGATAGCTCCCAGACCGCTACACTACATCGAGATGAAATCACAAAATTTGACCAACCAGTCCTAAATAGACTAGCATTATCGCCACTGTTGGTTAACACCATCATCACTGTAGGCTAGTACCTCTATCATTGTGGGGTCAACACTACCATCACTGAGATCAGCAAGAGGATGCACCTGGGTTGCATCAACAGTAAGGAGGTGTATCACGTGTCCCAACAGAACTAAGAAACTGCATTAATTGAGACCGTATGTGAAAAAGACCTTGGTGTGTATGTCAACAAGGAAATTAAGTTCTTGAGCCATTGCAGAATAAGGTGAATTAGGCAACTAATCTAGTAGGTCTTATAAGAAGGTCATTTAGATATCTGGATGATCCATCGCTCATCACAATCTTCAAGTGTGAGGTGCTTCCCCATCTGGTCCCCAGGGTACGCTAGAGATTGTCAATTGATTGAAAATATCCAAAGGAGGGCTGCCAGACTGGTGCCTGCTCTACGGAACCTCAGTTACCCAGAGATATTAGAACGCCTGCAACTTCCTAGCTTACTCATATACTGCAGAAAGGCAAGGGGCGACCTAATCGAAGTGTATAAACACCTCAGAGGGCACTACTTGGTCAAATGTAAATACCTGGAGATGGAGGATGCCTGCCCCACAAGGGGTCACAGCTCAAGGTTAAAGAAGCTACAAGTCCAAAAAACAGTGAGGGCAAACTTTTTCGGAATGAGAATAATGAGCTCTTGGAACAATCTGCCAGCATTGTGACAGCACCGAGTGGGAGCTCATTCAAGACCAGACTTGACCAACACTGGAGCAGGTTCCTATATATTCAGGAGACAGTTCATGCCCAGTACTTGGCAACAGTGTGGAAAATAAATGTGACCGACCGCCCAAGCAGCTAATGAGCCAATCAGTAGCAAAAGGGATAAAAGTAAAAAGGTAAAAGTATTCACTGTTGGCTAATATCACCATTGCTTTTGGCTAGCACCACCATCACTGTTGGCTAGCACAACCATCATTGAAATTGAACATCATCATCATCACTGTTGGTTACACAACTATCACTGTAGGCTAACACCATCATCGCTGTTGGCTAACACCACTTTCACTGTAGGCTAACATAACCATCACTAGTGGTTAGCACCACCATCACTGCTGGTTAACATCACCATAGCTGTTGATTAGCACAACTATCACTGTAGGCTAGCACCACCATCACTGTAGGCTAACACCACCATCACTGTAGGCAAACACCACTTTCACTGTTGGCTAGCATCACCATCACTGTTGGCTTGCATCACCATCACCGTTGGCTAGCACCACCGTTGGCTAGGCTAACATCACAATCACTGTTGGCTAGCATCACCATCATTGCAGGCAAATATAGCCAACACTGTTAGATAGTGTTAGCAATGAAACAGTAGCAACAAT